GTCGTGTTTTTATGTACTGGTAAAAAAACGTTTATTGGTAAGTTTTTTGGCTAGTACTTGGTTCTGATGTATCTATCGCCTATAGTGATGATGCTCACAAGGACTAGGGGTGACCAGGTCGTGCTGCAGCTATAGGTAAATCTGCTTAGGATAGTCTGCAGAACGGTGCGCATATTGGGGTTCTTCAGGATTTAGTTAAGCTGATTTCAGCGAAATCAAAAACTGTGAAGGAAAAACTGTGTGCTGGCCCGGATGTGGAGACAAAGCCTATTGCTCCCCGGCCGAGGCGTGCATTCGCATGCACTCAGAGCACGTTGACATCTGCTTGCAATGCAAAAAACATAGCTGCCAACTCGCCTCTTTCAATTCGATGTACGGCTTCGGACCCTGGACACGGTTGCAGTCCTGCACGAAAAGCCGACATCACCAGCCCCGCGCAGGGCTAACAGCAGAAAGCCTTTTTCAACCCATCCAGGACGAAGGCCGCGATTTTTGAGCTCCAGACGACATCACAACCAAAAAAGGACTACCAAAAAGCACGCGTTTTTTAGTGCACAAAACGTGTCGAACGGAAATCAGACATAAGCCTCGGCCACGGAAAGCGTAGCATATGCAACTTGTCGAACACCTCGCGCAGGACGGTGTTTTCGAAGTCAGCGAATGGCTGTGGTGAGCGCGAGGAGCATGCAAGGGCACAGAAACAACCGCAAAAAACACCCCCGGAAGTGAACCCTCTAGGAGGTTTAGGGTTTAGGGAGTGCGGCGGAAATGTGGGATTTTGGTTTAATGATTCAGGTTCAATCCTGTGGGCCGGACCAAAGTCTTGGAGGATATACAGTCCTGAGTTAAGGAATGGTTTGGGTTTGGGGTTTAGGGTTTAGGGTTGAAGGCTCCCGAATCGTTCTTACGTTATAGTTGACAGCTCGGTTCATATAGCATATAGGAGTTTTACTAAAAGGGTATAGGGCCCAGTAGGGCACTCGCTTTTAAGCGTCATTGGGTCCTTGAGGTCTAGACTGCACGCCACACGCTCAGGGACTGAATCCCCGCTGTGGCTCCAAACCGCCATCCGTCAGGCGGCAACTTAAAAGACGGCTTAATGTAGGGGCCGAAATAATTACCAATACTATTCTGGGGTTCCTCATTATGATTATATAGTATAATATACCCCAAGACCCTATTCTGATCATTCAGACCGTTACATTCGGCTTCAGGGATCTCGGCCCCATGCTGTCTGCCACTTCGTACAATCCTGAGCCCACAATACTTAGGGTTTAGGGTTTAGGGTTTAGGGTTTAGGGTTTAGGGTTCCCACACGGAAGACAAGAGCGGGGTCTGGAAACCCTGCGGAAGCGCTCCTGACGGCGTCTTCCAAGATCTTCTTCTTCAACTGCAGAGTTGCTGTGTACCCCGAAAACCCTAGTCCCTAAACCAGTCCATGGGATTGAGGAAACCGTCCAGAGATGCAAGGCCTCCTTCTCCTCCTCCTCCTGCCCCATGTCCTCCTTCTGCTCCTCCCTGCTCCAACTAATCTGACTGCTACTGCCACGACTTCTTTGAGGATAATAATCACACGGGTACCACTTATCCATTATTGTTGATTGCGAATAACGAGCAAAAATACAGGCCGGTGACACTCAACAGCAGCAAGGGAGTAGAAGTAGAAGTAGGAGTAAGTAGGAGCAGAAGCAGCAGGAGCAGCAGCAGCAGCAGCAGCAGCAGCAGCAGCAGCAGCAGCAGCCGCAGCAGCAATAGTAGCGGTAGCAGTAGCAGAAGCAGTAGGAG